CTCCTCAAAGGCCGCGGGGGGCGGAGTTCTGGCTACACCGAGGCACCCACCGGAGCACGGAAGATGCCTGGGCTGCCAGGCGGACAGTTCCCCTCCACGGCCGGATCGAGGGGGCTAAACGGGTGCGGCACGAGATAGAGAAGAGATGGAGTGATGTGGTACAGGAGGACGTGGAGCTGAGTGGACTTGTCGATGACTGGTACCAGCGGTGTCAAGATCGGCCTCTGTGGAGGAGGCTCGTGAAGGACGCTACTGGACAGTTGGAGGCAGTCGCCCTCCAACAACAACGGAGGGCAGAGGAGTGAAGCTCACAACAACGAGCGGAGCGCCGGGTGGCTAAAGCACAGCAGGTTGGCACAGTAGTGCGGGAGGTGCAACACGTTTACACAGAGCAACCACAACCAAGAAACACCTCGGAAACCCTCTCTCCATCTCTTCCTCTCCCCCACACTCTCTTTCTTTGCATACCCCTCCCTCGTGTTTATAACAACACGGCATCACTTCTGGTCCTCTAGTAGATGGTTCCATCTGTGGCTCTCCACCCTCCACCACGGAGCGCGCGGCCTCCTCCGTCGCCCGCTGCTCCTCAAAGGCCGCTGGGGGCGGAGCTCCGGCCACACCGAGGCACCCACCGGAGCACGGAAGATGCCTGGGCTGCCGGGCGGACAGTTCCCCTCCGCGGCCGCCTTCCTGGGCCTGTCGGTGGCCAGCTGAGCGTGGCCCACGAGTCCATCGACGAGGCCAACCCCAGGTCGCGATCCATCCGTGGCCCGAAGACGAAGATCGCCGGGGAGAAGTGGGCGCTGAACTCGAGCGGCGGAGGTCCCTGAGGCGCTCGTACCTCGGCCCAAAGTAAAGCCGCCTCCAGAGAGAGATGCGGGGCAGGGAGCTTTCTCCACACGTCCACCAAGGCAGTGGCATCCAGGAGCCTCCCTCTGTAGCTCCCTCTTAGGCCGCCTGTCCCCAAGCCGCCCCCGCGAACGATCCGGCGTGCCGAGTGTGTGTCCCGGCCAAGGGCCGCCGCAAGAGGTGCAGGTACCGAATCTTTCCTTTGTCGGTGACCGGCCGGCACGCGTCCCTGTGGGCGGGTGGGCGGTGACCTCGTCGGCCTTGACCGTCGCCGCGAGCGCCCTGCCCTTCGCCGCTTCGGTCTCGATGATGAGCTCGGGGGTCGAGGGTCGCGACTCCACAGGAGGTGCTGTCAAGGTGGCTGTGGAAGGGTTCCCCTCGCCATGCCGTCCTCCGCAGACACCCTCATCCTCAAACGTGAGGTGGCGTCTCCCCGATTAAAAACACCGAGGCGGCGTGCCTCCTCGCAAGGGACCTTGCGAGGTGGCGTGCCTCCTCGCAAGGGACCTTGCGGAAAACCTCGGCACCGCCTCCCGACACCCACTCAAGTTCAAGGGGCCGCTGGACATGGGTTTGGTGCACGGTGCTTGTTCTTGGCCTCTGCTGCCTCCCACTTAGCGAATTGGTCGCGGAAATCTCTCACCCTTGATGTGTTCCTCCCACGGGACTCGAGTCCCTGCTTGGTGAGGAGTCTCAGGGCGAGGATTACAGAGGCCTTTATTGCCTTGATGTGGTGACATCTAGAGAAGGCAATGTCCCCATTGGTCTCTCCTCAAGGGAGTCCCAGAGACCTGGGCCGTCTGAGGGTGCAGATCTGTGGACATCTAGCTTCCCTCACTCCCCACACCGAGGCAGTCCTCCCGATCCGAGTCGGAGCTGCGGGACCTGGGCCGACACTTGGCCCAGTGGCGTCTTCTCCCCGAGGTGGTTCCTGCTCGGGCCCATTGGGTGAATGGCCGGGGGGGGGGGGGGGTGGTTGCTTCCACCGGTCTAGGACCGGTCGTGAGATGGGGACGCTCATCCTCGTTCCCACTCGCGTCTTCCTTGCGGGTTGGTCAGCGCGATCGATGTCTCCTCCCCACTGGCTTCCTCCTCCATCCTCCTCCATCCTCGTGGTCGAGGGTGGAGAAAGTTGCCACGGCATTCGCTGCGTCCTGCGCCTCCACAGCTGGCGGGTGTGAAGGCTCTCTGGCCTAAGGAGACGGACCGGTCTCCTGGGCCGTGTCGCCCTCACTGTCCGTGAGCTCCTGAAGTGGCAACCGCTCCTTCAGCCGCACGCTGCTTCTCCCTCCTCGCTGCTTCTCCTCACTGCTTCTCCCTCCTCGCTGCTTCTCCCTTCTAACTGCTTCTCCCTTCTCGCTGCTTCTCCCTTCTCGCTGCTTCTCCCTTCTCACTGCTTCTCCCCCCTCGTGGCTTCTCCTACCTCGCTGCCCGTGCGTCACGTGCGCCGGTGTCCGGGAAGATGAAGGGCGCGTCTCCAGCAAGTCTGGCGGCCGTCCCGCTGCCCGGGAGTCAGCAGGATGCGCGCCTACCTCCTGGAAGACCGGACGCGCTACAGGACGCGCTACAGGACGCACTACAGGATGCGCTACAGGACGCACTACAGGACGCGCTACAGGACGCGCTACAGGACGCGCTACAGGACGCGCTACAGGACGTGCTAGAGGACGCTCTACAGGACGCGTTACAGGACGCACTACAGGACACGCTACAGGACATGCTTCTGGGCAGGACCTCTGCACCCCAGCGGCAGGGCCGTATGGGCGACACGACCGTGCCCAGCTCGGTCACGCGCTCCAACACGGCCTTGTCGGGGATGTGGGGCGGCACGTTGGAGATGATGACTCGTGCAGCCGACGTAGCCAGCGGTTCCGGTGGGATGTCGAGACCGCCGATGGCCGTCCCCTTCTCGACGGCGGTGTGGGCCGCCCTCTCCGTCATCGGGAAGAAAACGGATTTTCCGTTCACCTTTCTATGCACGTGCGCGATGGAGGCTGGTGGGACGATGGTCACCGGGTCCTCGATGGCCGTGGTAGTGGTGCTCGAGGCGAAGCAACGGATGCCGCGCTCGCACGACGGAAGCAGCAGAAGTCGCTGCTGCTGCCCACTGCGGGGGGCTGGGCTAGGAGCAGGGGCCTGAGTGGGGGTCCCATGACTCCAGCAAGATTGGCAGCTGCAGCTCTTCCTACCCCGAACTACGACCTGATCGAGGTGGCAAAACATTTTATGCAAGACGGTCTATCACGTTGTGTGTTTTGACGACCTCTTAAAACTGTGCGCACTGTCACACAGAGCTCCTCCGGAGGGACATAAAGAATAATAGTTAATAATGTTCAGTAGCATAGCAAACAAAACAAACCGCGTGACACAAACTAAAGGATGTTCAAAACGATAGACCTTGCACGCGAATGGGAGGGCCCAGACAGCGCGTTCTGTGACGGTGACTCGCGGCAAGGGAAGGAACAGAAACATCAGAGAGGGAGCGACAACACACGACATGATAAACATTGTGAACACGCCTAAACAAACACAAGATCCAGGTCCGGTTCAACACAGTACACAAAATACGTGATCTGATCCCATCCGTAAAGGATGTCATTCCTGACTTACAGTACCCCGGCGTTTACAAATTGAGTTGTACCTGTGGTGACTGCTATATCGGGGAGACGAAACGACATGTTTCTGACCGAATTCGTGAGCACAAATCAGATCTGAAACACGGCAGAACGAATTATTTGGCCGTAGCTGATCATTGTTTCAACACAGCGGGTTCTCATGATATTATCTTTTCCGAGACCAAGGTGCTCTGCAAGCCGTCTGGATACCACCAAAGGTTTATCCATGAGGCCTTACAGTTTATATTCATATCCACATCACCAGTCTCTTACTCCAAGCCTTGCACATCACTAGGAAATTTCAGGTGCAGCTTTCCAATCGTGTAAGTAGTTTCGTCCGATTCCACTCTCCCCCGCTCCCCCCCCATCTGTGGTACTTGAGCAGTTTCCCCATACTCACCCTGCCCCCCCCCACCCCCACCCTCCTCAACTATATAAACCCGTGTTAGAGCCATCTCTTTGACATATCTCCATCACCTGATGACGGACTCTTGTGTTGCGCCCGAAACGTCGTGATTTAATTTAGTTGCTTTCATTTATTTTATTTTATTGATTTTTTTTACCTTCGTGATTTTACCGAAAAAAAAACAAAGAGTATTGTGAACACGCTCACAAACTTAGTAAGGGGGGGGGGTCCAAACGGGGTAGAGTCGGGGGTGCACTGCATCCCCTGCTCTCAAAGCGACCCGTGTGTGGTACTGCACCAGCGGCGTGTTCACGTGGAACACACCGAAGTGATAGAAACAAAATGGAATATCACAAACTCAAATCATTTTAGGAAAACTCAAAATAGGAAAAAGGAGCGTTGTGGCTGTGAAATGAACTCGGGAATTGTGCAGAGAACGCCAGTGGACTGCAGGGAGCGCGGCCCAACACCCCAAGCAGTGAAACAGAAAAGAACGAGGAGCTAAACAAAACGGTGTCGAGATGAACGAACGAATGATACAAATGCGTGTAAAGAACAACACTCACTGGTGGTGAATGAAATTCCCGCGAAAAAAGGTGAAGAAAATAGTGACGAAATAAAAGTGTTTAGAGGTAAGGCCTGGAGCTCTGTGTGAACACGTGTCTCTCTCTCTGCTCCCCTCTCTGCTCCCCTCTCTCTCCCCCTCTCTATCTCTCCCCCTCTCTATCTCTCCCCCTCTCTATCTCTCCCCCTCTCTATCTCTCTCCCCCTCTCTATCTCTCTCCCCCTCTCTATCTCTCTCCCTCTCTATCTCTCTCCCTCTCTATCTCTCTCCCTCTCTATCTCTCTGCCTCTCTCCGCAAAGCGAGCATCGATTTGCCAAACCGGCGGTCGCATCGGTGACTCGGACCGTGGGCTGTGTCCCGTGCACGAATTGTGGAGATGTTAACTACCTCGCCTAGTGTACGGGAGGTCACCGGCTGGATCCCGACCCTGACGCACGCTGGGCTCCGCCACATAAACAGCGAGACCGGGGAAACAAAGGCGGACCAATGAATAGCTGCTGCTGCTGCACGCTAACGGCACTTGCCCCAGCAGGCTACGCGGGGAGATTTGCCTTGGCTTCTTACCATGTTGATGGCGGACACGGGGCCGATGCTGTTGACGAAGATGTCCACTTCCACCTTGGTCGGTCGCACTGCGGGACAGGAGCGGGGTCAGGTGGAGTGGTGGTGGTGGTGGTGGTGATAGTAGTGGTGGTGGAGGCTGTGGGGGAGGTGATGGTGAAGTTGATGGTGATGTTGATGATGGTGGCGATGTTGATGTTGGTGATGTTGATAATGGTGGTGGTGATGTTGATGGTTGCGGTGATGTTGATGATGTTGATAATGGTGGCGATGTTGATGTTGGTGATGTTGATAATGGTGGTTGTGATGTTGATGGTGGCGGTGATGTTGATGATGTTGGTGATGTTGATGATGTTGGTGATGCTGATAATGGTGGCGATGTTGATGTTGGTGATGTTGATAATGGTGGTGGTGATGTTGATGATGGCGGTGATGTTGATGATGGTGGTGATGTTGATGATGGTGGTGATGTTGATGATGGTGGTGGTGATGTTGATGATGATGGTGGTGATGTTGATGATGGTGGTGATGTTGATGATGGTGGTGATGTTGATGATGGTGGTGATGTTGATGATGGTGGTGGTGCTGTTGATGATGGTGGTGGTGTTGATGGTGGTGATGTTGATGATGGTGGTGGTGATGTTGATGATGGGGTTGATGTTGATGATGATGGTGGTGATGTTGATGATGGTGGTGATGTTGATGATGGTGGTGATGTTGATGATGGTGATGTTGATGATGGTGGTGATGTTGATGATGGTGGTGGTGTTGATGATGGTGGTGATGTTAATGATGGTGGTGGTGATGTTGATGATGGTGGTGGTGATTTTGATGATGGTGGTGGTGATGTTGATGATGGTGATGATGTTGATGATGGTGATGATGTTGATGATGATGATGTTGATGATGATGGTGGTGATGTTGATGATGGTGGTGGTGGTGATGTTGATGATGGTGGTGATGTTGATGATGATGGTGGTGATGTTGATCATGGTGGTGGTGTTGATGTTGGTGGTGATGTTGATGATGGTGGTGGTGATGTTGATGATGGTGGTGATGTTGATGATGATGGTGGTGATGTTGATGATGTTGGTGATGTTGATGATGATGGTGGTGATGTTGATGATGTTGGTGATGTTGATGATGATGTTGGTGATGTTGATGATGGTGGTGATGTTGATGTTGGTGGTGATGTTGATGATGGTGGTGGTGATGTTGATGATGGTGGTGGTGATGATGATGATGGTGGTGATGTTGATGATGATAGTGGTGGTGTTGATGATGGTGGTGATGTTCATGATGATGGTGGTGATGTTGATTATGGTGGTGGTGTTGATGTTGGTGGTGATGTTGATGATGGTGGTGGTGATGTTGATGATGGTGGTGATGATGATGGTGATGTTGATGATGTTGGTGATGTTGATGATGATGGTGGTGATGTTGATGATGTTGGTGATGTTGATGATGATGTTGGTGATGTTGATGATGGTGGTGATGTTGATGTTGGTGGTGATGTTGATGATGGTGGTGGTGATGTTGATGATGGTGGTGGTGATGTTGATGATGATGGTGGTGATGTTGATGATGATAGTGGTGGTGTTGATGATGGTGGTGATGTTGATGTTGGTGGTGATGTTGATGATGGTGGTGATGTTGATGATGTTGGTGATGTTGATGATGATGGTGGTGGTGTTGATGATGGTGGTGATGTTGATGTTGGTGGTGATGTTGATGATGGTGGTGGTGATGTTGATGATGATGGTGGTGATGTTGATGATGGTGGTGGTGATGTTGATGATGATGTTGGTGATGTTGATGATGATGGTGGTGATGTTGATGATGATGTTGGTGATGTTGATGATGGTGGTGATGTTGATGTTGGTGGTGATGTTGATGATGGTGGTGGTGATGTTGATGATGATGGTGGTGATGTTGATGATGATAGTGGTGGTGTTGATGATGGTGGTGATGTTGATGTTGGTGGTGATGTTGATGATGGTGGTGATGTTGATGATGTTGGTGATGTTGATGATGATGGTGGTGGTGTTGATGATGGTGGTGATGTTGATGTTGGTGGTGATGTTGATGATGGTGGTGGTGATGTTGATGATGATGGTGGTGATGTTGATGATGGTGGTGGTGATGTTGATGATGATGTTGGTGATGTTGATGATGATGGTGGTGATGTTGATGATGATGTTGGTGATGTTGATGATGGTGGTGATGTTGATGTTGGTGGTGATGTTGATGATGGTGGTGGTGATGTTGATGATGGTGGTGGTGATGTTGATGATGGTGGTGGTGATGTTGATGATGATGGTGGTGATGTTGATGATGATGGTGGTGGTGTTGATGATGGTGGTGATGTTGATGTTGGTGGTGATGTTGATGATGGTGGTGGTGATGTTGATGATGATGGTGGTGATGTTGATGATGGTGGTGATGTTGATGATGGTGGTGATGTTGATGATGATGGTGGTGATGTTGATGATGTTGGTGATGTTGATGATGGTGGTGATGATGATGATGGTGGTGATGTTGATGATGTTGGTGATGTTGATGATGGTGGTGATGTTGATGATGATGGTGGTGATGTTGATGATGGTGGCGGTGATGTTGATGATGGTGGTGGTGATGTTGATGATGATGGTGGTGATGTTGATGATGATGGTGGTGATGTTGATGATGATGGTGATGTTGATGATGGTGGTGATGATGATGATGGTGGTGATGTTGATGATGTTGGTGATGTTGATGATGGTGGTGATGTTGATGATGTTGGTGATGTTGATGATGATGTTGGTGATGTTGATGATGGTGGTGGTGATGTTGATGATGTTGGTGATGTTGATGATGGTGGTGGTGATGTTGATGATGGTGGTGGTGATGTTGATGATGTTGGTGATGTTGATGATGATGGTGGTGATGTTGATTTTGGTGGTGATGTTGATGATGTTGGTGATGTTGATGATGATGGTGGTGATGTTGATGATGATGGTGATGATGATGGTGATGTTGATGATGGTGGTGATGTTGATGATGATGGTGGTGATATTGATGATGATGATGGTGATGATGATGGTGATGTTGATGATGGTGGTGGTGACTCACTTCCGATGCCGGGACGCAGCTTGTTGTCGTACCCCTCCAGCATGCGGTTGAGGATCTGCGTGACGTCACTCTCGTAGACTTTCGGGGCGAGGACCCACGTCTTGTTGAGCGTCAAGTCCTCGAAGTCGTCGCTCTCGATCTTCCCATTGCTGGCACGACACACACACAGCGGGCCCTGGGTGAGTGGGCGCGTGAGTTGGTGAGTTCATGGGTCGGTGGGTAAGTGTGGTGGCGTTATCGAGTGGGTGGGTGGCTGAGTGGGTGGGTGGCTGAGTGGGTGGCTGAGTGGGTGGCTGATGGGGGAGCTGAGTGAGTGGGTGGCTAAGTGGGTGGCTCAGTGGGTAGCTGAGTGAGTGGGTTGGCTAAGTGGGTGGGTGGCTGAGAGTGGGTGGCTGAGAGTGGGTGGCTGAGTGGGTGGCTGAGTCGGCGGCTGAGTGGGTGAGTGGGTGGCTGAGTGGGTGGCTGAGTGGGTGGCTGAATAGGTGGCTGAGTGGGTGGGTGAGTGGGTGGGTGGCTGAGTGGGTGGCTGCGTGGGTGGCTGAGTGGGTGGCTGCGTGGGTGGCTGAGTGGGTGGCTGTGTGGGTGGTTGAGTGGGTGGCTGAGTGAGTGGGTGGCTGCGTGGGTGGCTGAGTGGGTGGCTGAGTAGGTGGCTGAGTGGGTGGCTGAGTGGGTGGCTGAGTGGGTGGCTGAGTGAGTGGGTGGCTGAGTGAGTGGGTGGCTGAGTGGGTGGCTGAGTGAGTGGTGGGCTAAGTGAGTGGGTGGCTGAGTGGGTGGCTGAGTGGGTGGCTGAGTGAGTGGGTGGCTGAGTGAGTGGGTGGCTGAGTGAGTGGGTGGCTGAGTGAGTGGGTGGCTGAGTAGGTGGCTGAGTGGGTGGCTGAGTGGGTGGCTGAGTGAGTGGGTGGCTGAGTGAGTGGGTGGCTGAGTAGGTGGCTGAGTGAGTGGGTGGCTGAGTGAGTGGGTGGCTGAGTAGGTGGCTGAGTGAGTGGGTGGCTGAGTGGGTGGCTGAGTGAGTGGGTGGCTGAGTGGGTGGCTGAGTGGGTGGCTGAGTGGGTGGCTGAGTGAGTGGGTGGCTGAGTGGGTGGCTGAGTGAGTGGGTGGCTGAGTGGGTGGCTGAGTGAGTGGGTGGCTGAGTGAGTGGGTGGCTGAGTGAGTGGGTGGCTGAGTGAGTGGGTGGCTGAGTGAGTGGGTGGGTGGCTGAGTAGGTGGCTGAGTGAGTGGGTGGCTGAGTGAGTGGCTGAGTGGGTGGCTGAGTGGGTGGCTGAGTGAGTGGGTGGCTGAGTGGGTGGCTGAGTGAGTGGGTGGGTGGCTGAGTAGGTGGCTGAGTGAGTGGGTGGCTGAGTGAGTGGCTGAGTGGGTGGCTGAGTGGGTGGCTGAGTGGGTGGCTGAGTGAGTGGGTGGCTGAGCGTTTCCGCTACTCTGCCTCCCCACCCGTGCGTCTTTGCGCACTTTTATAGCTCGTACGTTTGTTGTTGTAGTTTGTTTTTGTTGTTGTAGTTTGTTTTTGTTCGTGTTGTTTGTTGTTGTTTGTGTTTGTTTGTTGTTTGTTTGTTGTTGTTCTAATTCACAGCGGGGTTTTTACGCGCCCGGCTGCCAAAGTCGCTACGTTTTATCGGCCCCGGGGCTCCCGCACATTGTTGTGAGCCTCGTCTCTCCTGTATCCCCCGCCTGCTGCTGCTGCTGGGAGGGCGACCGCCTCCAGCTGCCCCAGCGTCCCTCACGAGCCTCCACACAACAACAACTACTCACGCCATTCGCCACTAAGTGGCGGTGACGTCACCACGACGCCCGTGCCAGGCTAGGTGCACCTTGAGGCCACGTGAAGTGTCGAAGCCTCGCTGGCAAGAGGAGGTCACGGGACAGACCCAGCAGGTGCCATGGCTTGGCTGACTGAGATGACTGGCAGATGCACCACCAGCAGTACCCCCTACTGTGCCAGGCTAGGTGCAGGAGGTCACGGGACAGACCCAGCAGGTGCCATGGGTTGGCTGACTGAGATGACTGCCCGATGCACTACCAGCTGTACCCCCTACTGTGCCAACTTGCTGTATTTTATCCACCCGGCGCTCCGCTCGTTGTTGTGAGCGTCGCTCCTCTGCCCTTCGTTGTTGTTGGAGGGCGACTGCCTCCACTGCCCAGTAGCAGCAGCGTCCTTCACGAGGCTCCTTCCTACGTGACCCAGCCGTTCGTTTGTGATGTTAGTTGAGGGGTCGCTCTTGTAAAGTTGCCCCAACACGAATGAATCTCAGAGTGTAAAGTTGCGTTGCTGTTAGAGATTCAGCTGGGATTAAAAAATAACCTGGACGTCGATTCAACAGATGCCCAAATCTTGGAGACACCAAACTCATCCACCCAGTCAATCAACTTCGTAGCGACTCACTCCACCCACCAACTCACCCACCCATCCGTTCAATCAACCTCCTGTTTAACGCGTAGGCTTTCGCGACCAATATTATTCATACTAACGGGTTTTGGGTTAGATCGCGTTATTTACAAATGTGTCACAACCCTCCACCACCTGACACGGCCAATCAGTAAACAAAAGTGTCACGTTGACAAAAGACAAAATAGTTCACTACTTTAGCCCACCGGTGTCTTGTTGGAGAGTGAATCCACAACATTTACAATCTGCGTGGTACGACGTTTCGCTGGTAATTACATCAACCAGCATCTTTGGGCGATTTGCCAGAATGGTGAAGCCCTCCACGTGCTCCCGGTCTTAAATAGATCATCATCATCAGCAGCAGGGAGCCGTCATCGCTGAACCATTCAGGTGCAGAGATCAGAGGCGGAGGAGGGGGGGGGGTTTAATAATGTAATTGATCAGTAATCAGTGAATTGTTATGATTCATCTATAAAGAGTTGTGATGTGTATTATTTAACAACTGAACCCAATCACTATACCTAATCAGGTGCAGAGATCAGAGGCGGAGGAGGGATGGGTTATTGTAATTATAGACTGTTAGTAATCAGTTAATTAGTATGTGTTTCCCCCTATAAGGAATTTTAATTGTAATATGTATTTAATAATACGCTTCCAGGCCGCACTAAGCCTGTAGCTGTCAGAGCGATTCAAATTATTTGCATTTTTCGCAAATATCAATCGGCCAGTAATCATGATTTGAAGCGGTCCTGTCAACCTCCTACCAACTCACCCACCAACTCGCTCGTTCACCAACTCACCCCAACTCCTCACACCACAACGAATCACAATTATATTCACAATTATATTCACAACGCGACATGTACACACGCACACGACTCAGTTGTCAGCACACACACACCACCACGCACACACACACACCACGTACACACACACACCCCGTACACACACACACACCACGTACACACACCACGTACACACACGACGTACACACACACACTACGCACACATACACCACGTACACACACCACGCACATACACACCCCACGCACATACACACACACCACGCACACACACACACACCACGCACTCACCACGTACACACACACCACGCACACACCACGTACACACACACAACGTACACACACACACACCACGTACACACACACACACACCACGTACACACACATAACGTACACACATACTACGTACACACAGTACACACACACCACGTACACACACACACACCACGTACACACACACACTACGTACACACAGTACACACACACCACGCACACACACACACCAAGTACACACACACCACATTATTGACACACGCGTACACAATTTACTGAGCCAATAATCGCCAACAGACGACACAACACACGACACAACAGACACAACACACGACACAACAGACACAACACACGACACAACCAACACATCGCAATGTATCGTGGATAATGTTCACGAAGCATACTTCATAAATTGTGATCGAGATTGATTAATTTACGAGTGACGCACACGATTCTCGCAACACCACACACGTACACACACACATACACACACGTACCCACACACACGTACACACACACACGTACACACACATACACACACGTACACACACACGTACCAACACACACACGTACACACACATACACACACACGTACCAACACACACATACACACACGTATACACACACGTACCAACACACACACACGTACACACACGTACACACACAACAACAACAACCGCCATTCGCCACTAAGTGGCGGTGACGTCACCACGACGCTTGTACCAGGCTATGTGCACCCTGAGGCCACGTACACACACACACGTACACACACACGTACCAACACACACGCGTACACACGTATACACACATACACACGTACACACACGTACACACGCACACGTACCAACACACACACGCGTACACACGCACACGTACACACACGTACACACCACACACGCCACTGGCTATGCATGATGAACGGGAACCCACAACCACGCCGAACAGCAATGCATCACCATTGATTAGGGGCTGTCATTGATGGCTCTTAACCAATCCTTAGCTAACAAAGACAAAGAGCCCCCGTGTAGCCTGTTGGGGCAAGTGCTGTCAGCGAGCACGGCACACCAGGGGGTGGGTGGCGACCACCATGCCCGGCCGCCTTTGTCTCCCCAGTGGCGACGTTTATACGAAGCACCGGGTACGCATTTGAGGCCGAGTCTACCTAGGGGATAATCGTCACCGGTGTTGGCCGTGAGCGGGAATCGAACTCGGGTCGCCGGGTTCGTAGCGCAGCGTAGCGCTAACCGCTGCCCCACCGCTCCCCAAGACAGACAGACACACACAGAGACACACAACAACCGCCATTCGCCACTAAGAGGCGGTGACGTCACCACGACGCTTGTACCAGGCCATGTGCACTTTGAGGCCACGTGAAGTGTCGAACGCCCGCTGGCAGGAGGTCACGGGGCAGACCCAGGTGCCACGGGTCGACTGACTGAGATGACTGAGATGACTGGCTGATGCACCACCTGTGCCCCCTACTGTGCCAACATCCTGTGCTTTAGCCACCCGGCGCTCCCTCGTTGTTGTGAGTGTCGCTCCTCCACCCTCCGTTGTTGTTGGAGGGCGACTGCCTCCAAATGCCCAGTAGCCCAGTAGCGTCCTTCACGTGCCTCCTCCACAGAGGCCGATCTTGACACCGCTGGTACCAGTCATCGGCAAGTCCACTCAGCTCCACGTCCTCCTGTACCAC